ACAGAAGCGGTGCTGGAGGAGAGGAGGACCGGGAACTCGGGGTGGAAGGAAAGGTTGGCGACGGGGGCCTTGTGCTTGTCTGGAATCTCTCGTGTGCGTTGGATATCAATGACTTCGGGTCGCAAGCGCCTCTTCTTGGTCGATCCAGCCCCGGCCAGACTGTTGACGTCGCGAAGGAACTTCTCAAGAGGCTGAGCAGAAATCTCAGAGTCGGAGTCGCTGTCTGCTGAAGAGTCAGACGCAGCAGATGATCGCCTTCGCTTAGTAGGTCGCCCGTCTGCCTCCCGCGCCCACTTTGGAAGGGGATTAAGTCGGAGGTACTGTTGTCGCAACCTTCTGCTGTACTCTGTTCCGCTCACAAGATCCTCGGCCTCCGTCTTACGCAGCTTTCGTAATCGAGTGGCTCCAGCCAGGGAAATGGCCAGTCTATCATCGTCGCTATCATCCCATACAGGAGCGTTTCCACCAGTAGGCTTTGCTGCCTTTGTGACCTCTGCAGCGCCTGTTCCAGCACCCGTGTCGAACATGAACAGGTCCGCGTCGTCGATTTCCTCCAGCCCAGGATCTTGCTCGACAACCTCGAGTTCCTTACCCTCCGTGTCCCAGCTGTTATCAAAAATCCCATCGTCTTTGAATAATTGCGCTCGGAAGCCTGCCTTATTACCTAGAACAAGTCGCTCCAACTCTTCCTCGTCCGAATCTTTGTCGTAGAGCGCAATGGTTGGCTTCTTTTGGGGAACCTCATCTTCGGAGTCAAATTGAGACTCGTTCTCCGAGGAGGAGGAAGATGAGGGATCTAGCATCTCTTCGTCTTGTGGTGGCGCCATTGTTGTCCTTCGGCTCACTGGAGTAAGTTTTGCGGTTTCTGGTTTGGAAATGTTTATGGCCATGGAATTTTTTTAGAGGGTCCAAGCAGCCTTGCGCACGCGATTCTCTATAATTGGCTCTCTCACTTTATCGCTAGTGGCGTAGTAACCAATCATACGGGAGATTGGACGAGGCTGACGATGTATTTAGATAAGACAAGCAGGACTATTTGTAGAACCAATCAAACCCAGAAATGAAGCATTATTCGCAAGCGGCGAAGAAGTCGACACTGATAAGATTACTCAATAATTAGCCCCAATGTGTTTGGCGAGCTCACAGTGGCTTTCACAGGTCCACAGGCCCCCATGAGTACGGATTTGGTACCTAGGCTACCGAGGTAGTTATTCAGTAGGCAGGTAGGCAGTAAGATCCAATGGGAGTACGTATAGGTACGCAGATGTGAGGAGTTTAGGATGCTAGGAATGACAAGGGAACCTAGAAGAGAAGAAGGGGGGGAATCAATTTAGGGTATTCAACCATCTCTCTCCCACTATTCTGCTGCTGCCTGTGCCAACACACTTTCGAGTCTGTGTAGATCAGGACTCACTGACTCAGCAGACTTTAGTGTTAAACATGAGCCAGCTTGTGCAATATCAATGAGGTTCTCGACTTTACCGCCCTGAGCCAATCCAGAGATCAAAACACCGAAGAAAGTATCTCCAACCCCGTTAACAGATACAATGTTCTGAACCTTTTCAGCTGCAGAGAATAGTCGCATATAGAGCCCACCAACGCTGGGGTGGTCGCCCATCGAGCGAGCAAGGATGTACTCTTCGGAGTCAGGGTCCTTCAGACGGGGATCATCCTTTGCGAGGATAGTGGTCAGGAGAACCCCTTGAGGACCAAGCTTCGTCACAATAGTCGGAATATAAGGAAGTAGTTGAACAGACTGAACAGGAACACCAGCGTCAGTCAGCTCGGCTGAAGTCATCTTGACAAATCGATCTCGGGCACCTCGCATGCCAAAGGCATCGATGATATCGAACCACTCTGGTGCCTCAAAGTAGCCGTTATCGCGAGCTGCGGAGTACATGGCTGCCAGCTCGTAGCTGTTAGGAGAAGCGATATCTACCGTGGGCCTAGGGAAGACTCGAAGTTTCGGATGCCCCCTCTGAGAACAGAAAAGGTTCATAGACTTGGCTGTCGATACTGGTTCGAATGCAATCTTGCAGTCTTGGTCTTGGCCAGCCTTGAGCCATGCTCGGATATCTTTCTCGCTCCAGTTACCATCCACTACCAACCACTTGGGCTTGGTTCCCCGGACGGCAGACTTCCAATATTCGGGAAAAGAGTGGTTTGTGAAGATGCCCATATCGGCCATAGCCATGACTAGATTCTTGTTTGCATCGTTGACAGCAACGTACTGAGCCGTTCTATTAGAGCCGTGGTATTCATGGCCTAATTGTCGAATGTAGGTGGTGTCAAGGCCAGAGGCTTTGAGTCCATTAAGAATGGTCTTGCCAGCACTACAGCACGTCAGTGAGGGCCAGATCTCGACACGAGAGCACGCTTACACGTCATCACCAACCATGCTACAGAGCCGCACTCGAGCATGCTTGCTTACAGAGTGGGCAGCGAGAGCTACATTATGGCCGACACCTCCGATTGACTGACTGATACTGGATGGATTCGAGGTGTGGAGGACGGGTGAAGCGTCACCCGACTTTGGGGCATAGTCACAACTCAGATCAACAGCGACGGAGCCAGCGACAAGGATATCGACCTTACTGTCAGACCCTACTTCTGGCACCTTGAGCTCAGTAGGAGCAGGAGATGCAGGTGCAGATGGGGTGGCAGAATATGAATTGCTATAGCTACGATTAGATTTACGTCCGAGACCATTCATCGCTGCACTTACAACGTCTTGACTGGTTCGGAACCAGAAGACAACAATTTTGAGAGTTCGACAGCGATGTTGGTGGCCCGGGTGATGTTGGACGTTACCAGCGCCTTGTTGGCGATAACGGCCTTCTCTCCTGTGAGCTCCTTGAGCCTACCCAGGATATACGGAGTGTTAGCGCTGCCAGTGAAGCCCTTCTCATTGGCCTCCCTGACAGCCTGTTCGATGTAAGCCTGCATCTCAGGCGCGGGAATGCCAAATTCCTCCGGGATTGGGTTGGCGAAGAGCAAGCCTGACTCGATTCCAAGCTTCTCCTGGGCCAGAATGATAGCGGCTGCCTCCTTTTCGGTGTGAACAACAGAAGGGCTCTTGATGCCGCTATCACGAGCCCAGAAAGCTGGGAAATCAATCTTTCCAGATCGTCCGTCTGCAAAGGTCGACACATGGGCACCCTGGGTCTCGAGGAATTCCAGTGTCCTAGGAATATCAAGGAAGCCCTTGCAACCGCTACTGATGACAGCGACCCGTGTTCGGCCAAGTTCAGTGAGATCAGCAGAAACGTCCATTGAGTCATGGCCTCCACGGTGAACGCCGCCGAGACCGCCAGTACCAAATACTCGAATACCTGCGAGCCTGGCGAGCAACATAGTTCCTGATATAGTGGTGCCGCCGTGAATCTTCTGTCCCGTTAAACCCTGAAGCAAATCTCAGTCAGCCCTGTAGCCTATGCATATCAAAGATGTTGACTATGGATATAGTGCTACACACACGAGGCACGACCAAAATCAGTACCTGACTTGACTTACCATTCCCGCAAGGTAGGCAATATCTCTCCTGGATGCCTTGACAGCATTTCCGCTCTCAATCATGCGAAGGATATCAGATGCTGTTGCTCCAACAGTAGGAATGCCATCGACAATGGCGATGATGGCGGGAATACCTCCATGGCTGCGGACAAGATCTGAATGTTGGAGGGCAAGTTCATTGCCCAGGGCTCCGTGAGTGTAGATAGTTGACTCGAGGGCAACGATGGGTTTGTTGGTGGCAACAGCATCTGTGATCTCATCCGAGATCTTGAGCAAGTCCTTGACAGCAGCTAAGGAGGAGCTCATGAGGCGGCGTTGAGAATAAGAGCATCCCGGCCGAGATCCGGCTCCGGAACAGCGCCGAAGGACGGAGCCGTGCCGGGCGATGAGATTTGACAGCCGCATGTTGGATATGTTGTACAGTATACGCCAATGAGAAAGGGCGGCTGAAGTCCCTGAGATTCAAGATGAAGGAAAAAACGACGTGTTTGAATCCAGATTTGATGTTGAAGCTGATCACCTTTACTGAGAGGAGGGGTTGGAAGAACTGACCTGACAACCTGAGTTAGCGCTAGAGTTGGGCAATGACAAGAGCCTCGGATCACAATTATTAGCGATCACTCTTAGAAGCCAATGATTCCCTATTGTGAGATATCTTCTGTCACGATAAAAGAAAAGAGCTCCACAGGCGCCAATTTGGTAACTCAAGAGGACCTTTTGCTCTGAGCAGGCGGTGTTGGAGGTTCTTAGCTCTTGGCTATCGGGGGGCTCCGCCAGTAAGAGCCCGGGCCTCTAACGATTCATTGGCTCCCAAGTGGCACTCAAGGAAGTAATTCCGCTGCGAGTTGGTGACGGGCAATTCCATCTTGAGAAGCCAAAATTGTATATTTTGCATTTTTTATTATTATTGAGCTGTAATTAACTAATTCTTCTCTTCAACCGGGGAAGTATTTACGTAGCTAGGCCCCTGCATTTTGAATTTTAATGATCATTGAATCCCTGTCAAGTTAATTCTGAAACACGCCTGTTGCTCATACATAATGCACTGCAACACTATAAAATGGTTGAACGATTCCATATTATACTAGGTACCTACCTCTATAACTGATATTCATGAACCAATGCTATTTATTACCGAGCAACTCCCAGAACCGAACTCGGAATGCCATCAGTACAAGGCAAAGGGTAGAGAGACGATGGTAGATCTTTATTATCTATCTTCTTAGCCTCATTTACCGGTAAAAATACCCTTGTAATCTTGCTTTTATCAAGGATTAAGCCCCCATCCTCAAACATCTCCCAAGGGTTTTGCACCTGTATTGGATACCTACTCGGCCAAGCCCAATTTCCGGTTTCAAAAAGAAGATGTAGTCGTTTTGGTGCCTGTGCCGTATTTCCCGCGATAGTGAATTTGTTGTTGCCGTTACATTTTCTCACACCTCAATTTTACTAGGACTTGTATAGTACTTGATACTATCTACTAAGGAATGCTATCATCAAAGCAACAACTGACAGCCGTGCTGCTCCTGGCTGGACGTGCGCTGGGACTGAACTTTACAATTTCTAATGGCCAGATCTTTACACCTGGGTTTGTGGTGCTGGATGCCCCTCAACCGAACACGCCGCTTGGAGGAGGTAAGTTGACATTACGGCGTCGACGATAGCTTCACCACACTAACATTGTTGACACAAGATACGTTGCATGTGGCTATAGACGTGACGGCCAACGGCAAGCTGCCGTTGCCACCGCATGACAAAGATGACGATAACCAGATCTTCAGTATCGAGATGTTCCTCTACAGTTACATGACAGGTCGCAACTTGACCATCTCCAATGGAACGGCCACCGCTAATAATGCAAGTCTCGGGGAGATCATGGCCCAAGAACCAGGCAGCACGGTCAAGCATATCAACTGGGTGTGGCCTGACTGTCTGGTTGGCGATGGAGAACCTGAAGGAGATAGTGACCGTGGTGTTTACAACGTGAACAATACCAACTTCTACACCCTTATCAAAATATGCTGACGATATACCCAGATTTCCATCCGACAAAACTTCAGGCTCAACGGCGATGACCACTATACCATCTTCGACGTTCCAATCAATGTCACCAACTCGATTTCTGAGGATGGTGATCGGCCGTCTTGCGATGAGCTATCTAGTGATATACTCTCGCCCGAGGAAATCGACGCAGATGCAGCTAACAAAGTGGGCGTTTTGTTCGCGCCAGGTGACTCGACCGAGCTTGAAGCCAGTGGTGAGGATTCCAAGGGAGCTGTCCTGGATTCGAAAGTAGCGGTATATGCTGGACTGGTGAGCTTATTCATGGCGATTTAATTGTGAAAGATCTTGATTAAGTAGCTTTTTAACATTTTGATACCCCCCCCAACTTACAAGCGCAAGCTCTTCCATATAGTGTATCGTATTTCAGCAAACTTTTTCCAGTAATCCATTCTTCGTTCAAACGCTCTCGAGCCATAATAATTCACATTCTCAAAGTCTGAGCGTAAAAGTTGAAACAACTCGTCTTGGATCGTCGCACATCTTCAAATCCCACTAACCGATGCAGGTTACCAGATCGCCATGTCAACCATCATCTGCCATGCCAATTAAGGAATCATCCCCGTTCAGCATAGCTTTGAGATGATCGAATTGCGGGGTCATCATGATGCCGAGAAACAATCCACAAACAATGGCTAACTCATGATAGTCCAGCTTGGCGCAAGCAAAGATGTTATTCGGTAGAAGCTGCTGTGAGAACCCCGGCGAATAGCTCTTTGACTATTACCCCGGATTTCTCATCCCTGCTAACTACTGCAGGGAGCAGCGAGTTGGTAGCTGTTCGTGGACAAGGACCTCGGTTTGCATGCTCTATCATGAGAACCGTGCATCAAGCCCATTCTCCCTCCATAAGAGTTGCTTATGCGCATCCGAGGCGCAAAGTGCGTTGTTCAAGTACTTGAGCTTCTGTCTTGGACCTGTGCGCTGCTTGTCTCTTATATGAAAAAGCAGTCGTCTCTCGGTGCAGTCCACAAAATATTGACTTACACTAGACTCAAACACCATCATGCCGATCCATCAAGGACTTATCCCACGAGAAGGCTTTTGCGCTGACGTTGTGTTACGACTCATCCGTCAGACTGCTCTTAACCCAGCTCTCCTACTTCCACTCGTGCTATTCGCTCGCCTCACCAAGAAGGGTCAAGATCTATCCATTCTTCATCCTAGCGCCTCCGGTCACCTCAAAACGCTATTCTACGTTGCTCTGGCGCGATGGGCCAGTGGATGGTGGTCCGATAAGACCAGAAACAACTGGGTTGACGACAAATATGACTGGAAGCGCGAAGTTGTTCTCGTAACAGGTGGTGCAGGAGGTATCGGAGGGCGAATCGTGAAGCTATTTGAGGAGATGGGCGTCAAAGTTGTCGTTCTTGATGTTCAGCCCATGTCTTTCGAAGTTTGTATGTTATCTTCTTATATCTGACCCCCAGTTCAGGCTCAGAATAGGAGGAGGAGGCTGACTTCACACACAATAGCGGCCAACGTGCATTACTTTCAATGCGACCTACGATCGCCCGAAAACGTCGAGGCCGTCGCCGAAAAGATTAGAGCTGAGGTGGGACATCCGACCGTCGTTATCAACGTGGCTGGAGTTGTCAGGGGCAAGACTATCTTGGAGTCTCAGCCCAGCGATATCCGCTTCACCTTTGACGTCAACACCTTTGCGCCCTTTTGGATAGCAAAGACATTTGTTCCTGATATGGTCGCTAAAAACCACGGCATGGTTGTAACCCTGACATCTTATGCGAGCTGGTTGACAATTCCTAACCTGGTAGACTATGGTGCTTCGAAAGCAGCTGCTTTAGCTTTCCACGAAGGCCTGACCGCTGAGTTGACTACCAGATATAATGCGCCCAAGGTCAGGACTGTTATCGTTCATCCAGGTCCCACCAACACTGCTCTTTTCAAGGGATACTACCAAAACACTGACTTCTTGATGCCACCACTTGCACCCGAGTCAGTGGCCGATGCAGTGGTTAACCAAGTTCTCACAGGGCGTAGTGGGCATGTTGTGATTCCTGGTACGGGAACCATTCTGGCTGCTTTACGTATGCAACCGGATTGGTATGCAATTCCCGTGAGAGCCAAGGCAGAGGCGTATATGAAGAACTTCAGCGGTCGTCAAGTCATTGAGGACGTGGATACAGCCATTGAGAACGATGGTGAGGAGAAGGAAGGTGACGGGAATGCAAGCGCCAGTACGGTTTTGGTGTCCTGATCAAGGGCGCCTTGTTACTAGAATGTTGCGGATGAATTGTGGTTGCTATTATTTCATTTTGCCATATTGTACCTCTTATGCGTTATCACATTGGGACTAACTGTGGTAGGTAGCACAGAACTGGTCGTGATATTCTTGATTGTCACTGTCAAGGAACGTAATCTGAGCGTATGGTAACAGATAAATGGGCCACCAGAGCATCGAAGACATTGTGAATCGTTGTCTTTTGCAATATTGCAGTTTTCATATGTGTCTACTGAGGTAGTGCATATGAGTTTCAAACGGAGATACTTGATAAACTCATTCTCGAGCCTATTCGAAGTGTCACTCCTCATGACAAGACCCAAGGTCCGATTATAAAGGGCGTGCGTGGGAGCTCGGGCTGCCTAGATGCCTAAGTCCGAACCAGCCTGTGCGTTACAGGTCATCCATGTAATAGAGTACCATTGTGTTGGTGATGTCCCAGCCCGGATGTTATGTCATGTTGGTGGTGCAAAATGACTGATTTAAGAGTACTCAGACTTGCCCTAGTAGAATGCATATAACGCGCGGCACAATTCGAGTGATGAGCCGATATAATGACGCGATAAATGAGTCAACAGATTGACATCCAGTACTTGGGTTGGCTCCAATTGCGGAATACTCCCAACCTATGGGTGAGCTGGCAAGGCACCTACAAACAAGGTGATATGAGAGACGTCGCTTACGCTGCACTGCGCAAAAGGATCAGCTTCGATGATGATGATGATGCATATACAATATTTGTGATGAGCTTGACAGCTTGCATATGCAATCGAGGTGAAAAGGGGGGCCGTTCTGCCAGATACCTTGCTCGATTGTATATCATGAGATGATCATCGTTCGCTGCATATCGTGGTGAAGGGCTCCATCGTCAGCTCAACTGCTTGAAATGTGGCAGCGTAACATGTAAGGCATGGGTCTTTGCAGGCTGTACCCAGGGTTTATCCTGGACAGGAGATAGCAGACTATGAGAATCTGAAAATTTATGAAAACTATGTGGCTGTCTGTTTGAGTAACCCACAAACGGCGTTGAGAAAATCGCAACACTGGCAGGTTGCGTTGAATCTGCATGCTGGTCCCTACTACTTCGGCATCATACTTGCGTCTTCTGTTGCACAGGACGATATCAGGTACATAAGCCCTGAGCTAAGACCTGCATGTATCAGTTTGAATCTGTGTGTTACTGCCAGCAGGTCCATCCCATCTGAGTCAATGAAACGATTCCTATATATAACACAACTTACGGTGTGGCTTTGCTGCATGTTGTCAATTCCCCGACTTTAGATAACTTCAGCTGATAACAGGACTTAGCCAGATATGCCATTGACTTACAAAACTTCAGACAAAGGCCGGGGAAACCGGTGTCAGATGGATGGATCGCACCCACTCGCCCTGCTTGATAATGACACCGCCCAAGAACGGCCTCATCCTGGCTCAAAGACCCTGAGTTCCTGCAGGCGTATGGGAGAAGAGGCAAAAGGAACTTAATAACATGCGATGTCAGACTCTGATACTCCATCGTTCATGTCCTGACCGCAGCCAAATCACTGGACCAATGCTTAAAAGGGTATAACAGGTTAGCAGATGCGGACTGGATATTGTACGAGAAGTCCATCTACGTACACAAAAGGTGCATGATCCTTGCTGCTGTCAGAGCAGTAAACACACAATCTGGTACCAGACACACCACGTTCCCATCGGAGACTAGAAGCCGCAGAAGTGGGTTCTTTGACGAAACAGTGCGAGCGTGTGGCACGGGTTCAACGTCTTTTTGGTCTTGGTCCAAAGTGTCACTGTAAAGGAGGATGAGGAGGAGGAGATGGTGGTGGTGTCGAGTGGTCTAGGTCTTGGTGCATAACCTGGTCCGTGGTCTATAGCCTTCCAGACCTTCCTTCTAGCGGTGTTAATTCTCTGCCATCGATTTTGTCACTGTTTGCTTCAGAGATACCTCATACACTTTGATACAAATGATTATGCTTGGATCTGATTAAAAGTGATGATGCCAACCGGGCTGTTTCATCTATTCTTCTTCAAAATTTCTGGTGCTTTGACAAAAGCATTCAATTCATCAATTATCGTCCAATCACATGCTATATCTTCAAGCGGGGACAAGTCCAGAGACAGCATGTGGATCCCTTCAAGTTGCATTCCAACAGGAAGGACCCATTGAAAAAGAGTGAACTTGTGAAGGAGCTTGGCGGAAGCATTTGAGGAAGGGCCCTGGAAGTCAGACCCAGTTGAACGTGTCAACCGTGTCGTCTGAGTGGACCGTGTGGCAGCGAACCAGCAAAATCTCCCGCGAAATCAGCCCATTTCTTGCCTCCTCGTCAGGTCTGGCGTCGCCTGCCTCCGCCTGCTGTTGATAATCGTGTCATGCCATTTTTTCTGCTCCAGGCAATTGTGACCCCATCTCACTTGCCCTTGTTGCCCTTGACCCTGGGCTGGTCCTTCCCAACCATTCTCTGTCTCTGTCTCTCTTTTTGATCCATGTAGGCCAGGGCATCGTAGCACCCCGGTCGTCGCTTGCCATCAACCCCCGAAATCCGGTACCTGCCCGTTCGTGGGTGCTGTATTTCCTATATCTGACCTTGAGGCTCGGAATAGCTTCATACTTAGCCCCTCTCTTATCCTCTCTTCACCTCGGTGTCCCTCTTCGTGCTCCGCCGTCCATCGTCCGTCCTCTGTATCTTCGTTTCTGCCATCGCTGTGGCTGTCTCGTCCACCTTGCTCGCCATTCTCATCGTAGCCTGCATATCTGCACAAACCCTTGTCGTCTCAGTTGTAGCTTGTCAGTCAGATTCAGCCTGCCCAATAGTTATTCGGCCATTCTGCCCCGCGACCTCGAAAACCCCATACACTTACCGATCGATCTATTCTATCATACATATCCAATTAATACTACTACGCGGCCTACTCGAAATCTCCAAACATCTTACGACATATTCAGTTTTACGAATTCGATCTTGACGACCTCTTCTCATCAGGCGATATCGGGGAACTCACATAACACCCCGGTTGTGATACGCACAGCACTCGATAACTGAGTGGACGGACTTCCTCGGAGAATACCACCTTACCGAATATCCTTTGCTTTCCACACACCTCGTCGTTTGTCGCCAGCTTGATCATCTGCGGCATCTTCTGTCTGGACTCAGAAGCCTCCGCCACCTTTACCTCTCGCAACTACTGCCGGACGGCACTCTGTCAACAATCTGAACCGACAGAGGTCGTCCATGATCTTGTGATCTCCCGAAAACTTCCACTGTAACATGGTGCCTAGCATTGCCCAATCTGACGACATGGATCAAATGGAAATCCCCTTTCCAGCACATCGTGAGCGCCAGGAAGGCTCTCCTCCTCCCTTTCAAGATCCTCTGGCTCTTCTTCGCAGTCTTCCTGAGCCCCCGCTGGAATGTCAAGTATGTGTTGTTGGCGCAGGACCTGCCGGTCTAATGTTGGCCGCAAACCTGACCAGATTCGGCATCAACGTTGAGGTAATCGATGATCGAGCCGATCAGACGCCCGTAGGAAGGTAAGCTTATCACCACGATTCAATTGCACCAATGAAACAACCCAATTGACCTCGAGAATAGAGCCGATGGCCTCCAGCCAAAGACGATCGAAACCTTCCGACAAATGCGACTATCAGATACTTTGCTAAAGCAAGGTGTTCGTGTCTTCGATATCGCATTCTGGCGTAGCACCGCGGACGAGCCTCTTCGTCGACTTGGTCGCGAAGTCCATTATCCCCCTATTATCGATGTTCTCGACCCCTATATTCTTCTAGTCCACCAAGGTATGGTCGAAGGGCTGTTTCTTGAGGATATGAAGAAACGTGGCAAGGAGGTTCGTCGAAACATGGCTTTTGAGTCGTACAGCGTCCCCGACAACAAGACTGGTCCCCTCCAAGTCAACTGCCGTGCCAATGTCAATCAAGACAAGCGTTCGGTTCTTACTCAATACCTGATTGGATGTGAGTGGCAACCCCTTACGCTTATTAGACGCTCAGGAACTGACATTACTACTTAGGTGATGGCGCACACTCCAAGGTTCGCAAGAGTATCCCCGATGTCAAGGCTGTCGGCATGTCTCAGGCTGCCATTTGGGGCGTTCTCGACGGCGAACTGATTACCGACTTCCCCGATATTTGGTCCAAAACGCTCGTCTATTCACAAGAGCACGGTTCAATTCTTATCATTCCTCGAGAGAGGAATATGACTCGTTTCTATATTGAGCTGAAGGCTGGTGCCAAATTTGATCGCCGCGATCTGGGTCAGGAGTTCATGATGAAACGCGCGAAGAAGATTATGGCACCGTTCCGCTTGGACTGGAAGTACGTTGAGTGGTTCGGCCGTTATCAGGTTGGTCAGAGGGTTGCTAGTCGCTTCACTGATGGCCACTTGAGGGCCTTCCTGGCTGGTGATGCCAGCCACACCCACTCTCCCAAGTCAGCACAAGGTATGAACACCTCAATGCACGACTCATGGAATTTGTCATGGAAGTTGAACCTTGCGGTTCGAGGCTTGGCCAAACCAAATCTTCTCGAGAGTTACGAGGAAGAACGACGCAAGATTGCCCTGGACTTGGTTAACTTTGACTATGAGCATGCGAACCAAATTGCTGGTGGCGACGCCATTGCACTCGCTGAGAACTTCAGGACCAACGTTCGTTTCATTTCCGGAATTGGTGCTGAATATGGTGAGAATGCCATCAACAGGCCAGGAACTGGAAACAACCATTTTGTGATGGGAGACGCCAAGCCAGGTTGCCTTCTGCCTCCCGCCAAGGTGACTCGATATATCGACTCCAACCCTGTCGATATCCAGCTTGACATACCTATGCTCGGCCAGTTCCGAATCTATCTTCTTATGTGGGATGTTCAACAATCAGCACCGTTTCTGCAGACATTCTGCCACGCTATTGCAGGTACAGACTCCTTTATTAGCCGTCTATCTGCTGCAGCTAGCGCTTCTTATGCTTCTCAACCTCGAGCACCAGCTCCCGAGGATGTTTATTCTCGACCTGAGCGATACACCATTGTCAGCCACCTCTTCACTTTTGGTCTTATCAGTAAGTTCCTGCGCATCTTGTACTTGGAGATCGCTTGTTAACAAGTCAATCAGCTACCATGCCTAAGACGGAGATTGAAATCTCAGATCTCCCACCTCTTCTGCAAGACAGCCGTTGGACCTTCTACCTCGACGACATTCCCGACCAGGACACCCGTGGCTCCCTGTGCACTAACAAATGGCTCGGCAGCCTGGGACCTGGCGAGGTAGCCATCGTCAACGTTCGTCCCGATGGTTATGTCGGCTCGATAGGTCGCTGGGACTCAAGCCTTGATGAGTCTGGTGTTCAGGCAGCTCGATGGCTCGATGAGTATTATGACGGATTCATGAAAATTCCAACGCAGTAAGCTCGGAGGGGATCATGAGTTAATATAGAGGACCAGCCGAAGCCCACGCAACCCTTAGACTTGCCCGTACTCTATCTGAAATTCTTCGAGAGCCATCTGGGGGACAAGAGATCCCTGTGCACATTGGCATTTTCGAATTCTTATATCCAGGAGTACGGAGTTGTTGACAATATTTTATCATCCTTGATGCAACTCCTGCAGTGCCCTGCTTGGGCCTGCATCGCCATTGAGAAGAACGAAGCAAGACGGGCCACAGTGGCCCGACTAACCACCGTTCACAGAAGGAGGAGGGACCAGGAAAGGCATATTTAGAGACAGACGTTATTGTCGGCAATAGAAGAGGGCCACCACTACAGTAAGATCGATCGCCAGATGGGCGTAATCTTGCTCATGTTACGACACATTTGGTAGTTAGTCACTACTCATATCACGGAATCTATTTTATTTATCAACTTGCACATTGTTTGTTATTGGTATTGTTATTGTTATTATTATCATCGTCATGCTTTACCGTCGTACGTACGACTCCACATGTTCTGTTTCGTATCAGCTCGAAATACGTACATGAAGATAATTTCAGCTAGAGTCTGTGCTCAGATGTCTTTATCTAGAGCTGCTATCTAAAGTCCCTAAATCACCCTGGTTCATCCGGGGTCCTCTCTTGCCAGCCGGTTTTCTTCACCATACATCTCTCCAGTCATCTATGAGTAGTTCTTACAATTCTGCACCTCTCCATAGGGGCAGGTTGGGATAACCGTTCTACATGTGGCAATCTGGCACACAAAATCATTCTGAGACTACCAAGAACATACATCTCACGTGTGGCATAGTGAAAACGACGAAAAGAAAATACAAGATGAGTAAGACACATACAGCGAAATATAAGGTAATGAAGGTTCCGATGTTTTTGAAATTCATGGCACTCGGCTGAGCTCAACAGCCTGACTATTGCCCTTATTATGCTAGCAGATATGCATTCTACATCAATATCCCGTTTTCCATCTTCCGTTCTTGCTTACTCGCTTTTCCTTTTAATCAAATCCACCATCTCAGTTTCCGCCTGATTATTGCTGGGTAGGCATGGAGACATCAGCCTTTTTAGCAACGGCATCCGCACTCTGCCATAGAGCTGTTACAGTCTTGAGCTGAGTGTAGAAGTTGATGCCAGGCTTTCCGTAGAATGTGCTGGCACCGCCACCAGCAATAGACTTCTTGTTACCAGTGAAAGAGAACATGGGCAGAGGGACAGGGATAGGGACATTGATGCCTACCTGACCAGCCTCAATGTTCTTGCGGAAGGTCTCGGCAGTAGCACCAGACCTGGTGAAGATAGCAGTACCATTACCATACTCGTTCTTGTTAACAAGGTCGATAGCGTCATCAATGGACTCTGCGTTGAGGCAGACAAGGACCGGGCCGAAGACCTCCTCTTTGTAGCAGGTCATGTCAGGTGTGACATTGGTGATGATGGTAGGGCCAACCCAGTTACCGTTAGGGTACTTGCTGGGCTTGCAGCCACGGCCATCAAGAAGAATAGTAGCGCCCTCCTTCTCGGCAGACTCAATGAGCTTCTCGATACGCTCCTTGCTCTGCGGGGAGATCACGGGACCGAGATCAGCGCCCTCCTCAAAGCCACCATTAACGTTGAGATGCTTGGCTTGCTCGGCGACCTCGTTAAGCCACTCCTTGGTCTCGCCAACCATAACAAGAGTGCTCAAAGCCATACAGCGCTGACCGGCAGCACCGAAAGCGGCACCAGTAATGGAGTTGATGAACTGGTTCTTGTTGGCATCAGGAGAGACAACGGCGTGGTTCTTGGCGCCCAGGTTGGCCTGAACACGCTTGCCATTGGCGGAACCACGGCTGAAGATATACTCGCCGGCCTTATTACCACCAACGAAGCTGATCGCTTTGATAGCGGGCTCGTCGAGGATGAAGTCGACAGTGCGGTGGGCGCCGTGAATGATGTTGACAACACCCTCGGGGAAGCCAGCCTTCTGGACAAGCTCGGCAATGATCATGGCAGCACCGGGGTCACGCTCAGAAGGCTTAAGTATGAGGGTGTTTCCAGTGATGGTGGCAATAGGGATGCACCAAAGGGGAATCATGGCAGGGAAGTCTACACATTGATTAGCTAAGAAATGATGCTAGCAACTCGCCGGTTACTCACTGAAGGGGCAGATAGCAGCGGTGACACCCAGGGGTTCACGGTAGGTTCGGGTCTCCATATCCTTGGAGACTTCAAGGACCTCACCCTTGAGAAGCTCTGGAGCGGCGATAGCAGCCTCAGCGACTTGAAGGCCACGAAGGACATCACCCTTGGCATCAGCAAAGGTCTTGCCTTGCTCGAGAGTAATACTAGCAGCGAGGCGGTCCCAGTTCTCACGAATGAGCTGGACAAACCGGAACATGATCTGCTGTCGAGAGATGACAGTCGTGTTCTTCCATGACTTAAAGGCCTTCTCGGCGCTTGCAACAGCAGCCTTCATCTCAGCGTCGGTCATCTGAGGGACGCGAGTAACGAGCTCGTTGGTAGCAGGATCGTGCAAGTCGATGTACTTATCGGTCGAGGACGAAACAAACTTGTTGTCGATGAAGTAAGGAGTATCGACCGCCTCGACCTTTGCGTGAGTGGTAGGATAGCTGCTAGCGGTTGAGGCCAGGGCAGCCGTCACAGGCTGAAGCTGCTTGCTTGTCGCATGAATGCGCCTGGCAGCGACGTGAGATGCGCCGCTTGTGATGTTAGATGAGGCGAGGAGAGAGGATCGAGAAAGGGCGGGAGTAGATCGGCTGGAAGCACCCAGGCCGCGAGAGATTGCGCGACGCATAATGGCGATGATGAATATGACAGACAGTATAGGTAGTCGATGAGGCTCGAATACGTGGTGTGTAAGTGAGAAGGGACAAGAGCTAAGAGGGGGAGAGCGAGAGCGAGAGCGAGAGCAATTGACCTCGATAACTTCCACTGAAGCAACACAGACAGGACAGAATTCAAGAGGCCATGGGTTCTCTAGACTTTTATACTGAGAAACTGTCCCGGCTATGTCAACGGTGCGGAGGCAATTGGAGGGGCGGTCCTCTGAGAAGGTCACCACTTACAAGCACCAAAGGCGAGTCAGTGCGGGGCGGCGAGAGCAACTCATGATAAGCCAGCAACTTCCCCCAAGAGCTGGGCTGGCATTTCTGGAAAGTGAAAGTGTGGGGTAATTGCCGAGTGAGCTCCGGCTTGTCCGCTGGTTACCGTCAATGCCGATGGATACCACGGTCTGAGGTTTGTCTCCCAATTCAAGTCTCCTACTGGCTGAGATTGCCGGCCAGAAACTAGATCTCTCACTCCGTTTCTTCGTCTCTCTTCGCCTGCCTAATTGGGAAACATATCTATCTCACCTGCCCTCTATCTATCGGCCATCGGGGTCACCTTCCATGATTCTCCAACGTAAATGGATGTTTATGGAGGGCGTTTGTCTTTTCAATATTGATCTAGGCTGATACTGGACGCCCTTATCTGTGAATGCACGCCGATTTCGGTGAAAGAGTGAAAAACACTAGGTAGTTCAAGACTTGTCAAGTTGACCTACCTTACCTTACCTTAGGTACTGTAAATACAAAACTAAACAAACCGAGATAGCAATGTCAACGCCTTACTTCACAGTACCTCGAGTGGACTAGACATACGGAACACCACGACGAGTCATAAACCGATCAAGAGTGAGGTCAGCCTGAAAAGCTATCAATTGTTTGATATCCCTATCGCTGCTCTGGTGCGCCAAATCAATCAATCATGAGAATTGTGTACATTTCCTTCCAAACTTGCTTCTCTTCTTAGCTCCATAGCTTCTCCGTCTCCTTTTGAATATCACTCCAGCCGATACAACCAACTAATCATCTGAGATTATCTTCTCGTTTTCTTTATGACTGGCTGCGAGTGGTGCGCTTGTTAACGGCGCCCTTGACCTGCTCGGCGCCGGTAGCGGTGGCCTCAGCAGCCTTATCCTTGACCTGCTTGGCCTTTTCGGATGCCTTCTCGGCAGTCTGCTGAACAGCAGGTGACTTGCCAAGGTTGAACAGAACAGCGACGAGGCCAGCGGCAGTAATGATGATGGCGACAAGAGCTCCAGCGACCTCGGGGACGAACTTGATGGCCTCGATAGGATCCTGAGCGGCAATGGCCTTGAAGAGCTCGACCTTCTCGGTAATGTAATGAACAGGGTCGTCGAGGAACTTGAGGTCGCTGGGGGACTTGGGCTTATCCTCCTGCTTAGGCTTGTCGGCATCAAAGAGGGCCTTCTCGATGGGGTGCTTGACACCAAACGTCTCCTCAGCGAGCTTGTTGGCGTCCTCAATGGAGTGACCAATGTAGATGTTGTCAAAGAGAATATCATTTTGCATAGTCCAGATCTCGAAACCAATGGCTCCCATGGGCTCGAAGTTGGCAGGGGTCTTGTCCTCGAAGTAGTCGGGGTTCTTGATCTTGCGGGGAGCCCAAGTTCCCTTGTATGCCGGATTCTCGATGTAAGGTGCAGTCCACTTGCCCTTGTAGTCGGGGTTGCGCTTCATTGGCTTAGTCCACGAGCCACAACCAGAGGCGTCGGCACACTTGGGGTTGGGGACGGTAGGGGCGATCCAGTCGCCGTCCTCCTCGTCATCCCAATCATCTGGCTTCTCGGCCTCAGGATCGGGGATGGTGACGGGCTCGTTCTCGAGCCAGTCCTCGGGCTTCTCGGCTTCCTCATCGACAATCTCGTAGGGAGCTTCCTCGTCCCAATCCTCAGGCTTCTTGGCCTCGGGGTCGGGAATGCGTGCTTGGTCAACCCAGTCGTCGGGCTTCTTATCGTTCGCATCATCAATCTCGGCGGGGGGGTTGACAGCGGGGGTGAAATCCTCCAAGAGGCTGCCGGTCTTGACCTCCTCGTTATTCTGCTTGATGACGTACGTATTGTTGGGATGAACGATCAAGGTGTAAAGCTCGGTGGTCTTTGTAATCTTGGCGGTGGGGGGAGAATCGAGATGCTTCTCCTCATACTCGCCAGTCTTGGGGTTCTTGTGATTGAAAATGAAGTGGACTTTGTTGGTGTGGCCGCACTTGTCGGGACCAAACATGATCACGTATGGGGTTGTGTTTGCGAACTCTTCCTGATGAAGAGCCTTGTTATCGCGAAGGAGCTTCATGTAAGCACCACCACACTCTAGGCCATCTGGAGGCAAAAATGTCAGCATGCACGATCACTGAGTCGGATTCCAAAGTCATGCTTACTTTGCAGCTTCACCTCATACTGGACGACGAGGGTGTTGTCCTTGTTGTCGATCTTCTTAGGGAACTTGGCGGAAATAGCATGGTGCGCCGCAGGGTTCTTGACAACAAGACCCTTATCGCCCTCGATGCCCTTGTACTGTGAGGGCTCCTCAACGGCCCACTCGCCAACATAGGCCCATTCCTCCTCGGAGCCAGATGTGTCCTTCTTCGCGTGAGAGGGCTTCCATCGCTGGTCCCAGTCGTCGGTGAACTGCTCCAGGAAGTCGGCCTTGACAACGGTGGGCTGTAGGGCGGGTTAGCCATCAATTGACTGGGACAAGAGCTCATGATGAGGAGCTGCATAGTCCTCATACACGAGCTCAGTTACTCATTGAAATGAAGAGGAAAAAACACTCACAGTGAAGGTAGGCAGCTTGTCGGGAACAGAGGGTGAGGCCTCCTTGATGTCCTCAGCGTGAACTTTGCCTGTAAGCATGGCAGCCGACATGGCCGCTGCAACAGCGTTGAGCTTCATGTTGAAGGAAGTGACGGAGTAGCTAGCTTGAGCAGAGAATTAAGGACGTCACTAGAGGCTGCGCAAGAGAAGGAGCAGGAACACGATTAAAAAAAGACGTGTGACTAAGGGAAAAGTGTATGCTCGAGGAGGGTATTCCCAGCGCTCGAGGAGATATGATGTCCAAGAGTGAGGTGGAATGTTGAATGGGGAGAGTGAAGAAGCGAAAGGTGGCGTCTTAACAATGAGTGGAGAGCTCTGTCTTAGTGTTGAGGACACGTAGAACGAAGAAGCTCAGAGCCGCCTAAATTTCAGGGATCACGAACAGGTGCAGAGCGGGGGCCGTGGCCCGGAGCCACTAAGGTTGGAAGAAGGAAGGTGCGGATGCCGACTGTCAGGTACTCCCATGGAACTGGGGGCGGGGACGTTGATGGAAGCCTCACAGCCTCGGCCTTGTTAGTCTAGTGGTTACAGAATAGGACATGCTTGTCCCACAGATGGAAGGCTCGAGAAGAAGACAGCTGTCCATGGAACAGTTGGCGGATGAATGGTTAATTTCACAAGCGTAATAAGCCTCAACTTTAAACCCGAAGTAGAATATTGGCTAATCTAGTCATCTAGTCCAGGGCATCGCAGTGTTGACGAGGGCGTACAGAGCTGTTGGATTCTTCCAATGGGTTTCAGTGTACTCCGTATGTAAGTGTAGAAACAACTGCTCCGGAACCAATAGCAAAATTCGGAGTCTTTAGTACATTATTATGCTTCTAAACGAACCTGAAGCACGGAGATTTCTACAGTGGCTTGTTAATCTTGAGACCAATTGGTCCAAGCAAATGATGTGGACTGTGAACTTGAATCATCGATAGACATTGTCCTTCTCTGCATCACCTTACTCTTACCTTACCTTAAGTGACTGACCCAGTGTCGTTCAACATAGGTACCTACCTACCCTATCGCCTATCTGGGAGAGGAAAGAAAACTCAGAACTTTGTCCCTGGACGATAAAAAAACATAGGTGATTTAGCCTTATTTTAGGGGACTCTTCACTGAGTTTATTTCAGCACTCCTTTTTCAAGTCTTGAGATTTCTTGCTCCCTGAGGGCCTATAGACCGATGACTGACACCGAGCAGAGCCTCGAATGAGTTCGGGGACGGCTCCCAGCACCGAACTTAATAAGGTACCCAGGTAGTGAGTGAGTGTTACGAAAAGTGCCTGACAAGATAGCAATAAGATCAAGCGCACATGGAACACTGTGGCGTCAAGGGTATTACTGCAATCAAACCGTAATTGAAGCAAATTGTTCTGTTATGACATTTTCATGTAAACATCAGCGACACAGGAAAACAGCTCGGCATGCAAACAGCACTCGAGGAGGTGCCTTCGAAATATGAACTATTATTTTTATCTCGGTTTCGAAGAAGTCATCATATGATGATTGAATTGGACTCGAGCATTTTCTCCAAAAGGTACGGAGTTACGTAGTGAGACAATCATTTCGCTTGTTTACAAGCTAAACCCTTCAAGCACCCGATTGGGAAACAGCAGCCAATCACAGAACAACACCCCACAACGTCAGGTTTCGTGTTTGTGTGTTTTGTTCTGACTCCAAGTCAAGTGAAAGATGCACATCAAGTTGAGGTTACGCAGAGCGCAAAAAAAGAGGTATTGTATTGATGCTCGTGTCGAGCCCTATGTGAACGCGTAAGGTGTCCCAATAATTTGTCCATGAAAAGTCGATCCGGCCCAAAGAGGCCTTCGTCATGATGCCCAACATGTATCACATCTGAAATCAAACTCCAATCGTTACCGCTCTAGAGCAAACCCATTAAAATCCTTCTCTTCCATCAACCGAATTTCCAAAAGAGGCCATCCAATTTACAGAGCCAAGACAGCGGCAACGAGACCGAGGAAAGAGACACCGCCAACGAGAGCGGTGGCGGCATTGCCAGTCTCGGTAGACGAAGCAGCGGAGCCGGAAGCAGTGCCGGAGGCAGATCCAGAGGCGGTCTCAGAGGCGTCGGTAGCGGTGGCATCAGACTCAGAGGCAGAGGCGGTGGCGGTGCTGTCCTCATCAGAGGCA